CCCCAAAACCCCAAAACCCCAAAACCCCAAAACCCCTACAAAAAGACAGCAGATTGAACGAGTTTAAAATATCCAAATGGAACAAGAAACACCCAAGATGATCTACAGAACACTCGGAAATACAGGTCTGAAAGTATCAGTGCTCTCTTTTGGAACCTGGCTGACAGCTCATGATGAGAAGGAAGAGCAAAATATTATCGACTGTGTTAAGAGAGCCTACGAACTTGGAGTCAACTTCTTTGACACAGCAGAAGCATATGGATATGGAGTGGCTGAGAAGATTCTAGGAAAAGCAATCAAAGAACTCAATGTTGATAGAGAAGACCTTGTAATCTCCACCAAAACAAGAGAGTGTGGATCAGGAGTCAATGATAAACTTCTTAGCAGAAAGCATATCATTGAAGGGGTCAAGAACTCCTTAGAGAGACTTCAGCTTGATTATGTAGATATTTTACTTTGTCACAGACCTGATTCTCAGACAACATTAGTCGAGACTTGCAGAGCAATGGATTGGGTAGTCGAAGAAGGATACGCATTCTACTGGGCAACTTCTGAATGGAGCCCTTCAGAAATTGCAGAAGCTTATGAAATTTGTGAGAGAGAAGGCTTGAACAAGCCCATTGCTGATCAGTGACAGTACAATGCTCTTTATAGAGAGAATTTAGAGAAGAACCTAAGACATTCGTTTGAGAAATATAAGTATGGAACTACTGTCTGGTCTCCTTTGGCCATGGGACTCTTAACTGGGAAATACAACACCGGAGATTTTCCTAAAGATGCTAGGCTATATTCAGAAGATGGAGATCATAAATTTTTAAGATTCTATTTCGGGGCAGATGGTAGCAGAAGAGATCAGACAATTGAAAACTTGAAAAAGTTTTGCAAAATTGCTGAGGAGCAAGGATGCTCAGCAGCACAGCTAGCCCTTGCTTGGACTCTCGTAAATAAGGACGTATCTACATGTATTTTTGGAGCGTCCAAAGTAAGCCAGCTTGAAGATAATATGGGGGCATTAGAAGTTGCTTCAAAATGGACTGAAGAGCTTGAAAATAAAATTGAAGAAGCATTAGGTAACGAGCCTGCTCCCGAAACTGACTACAACACCTTTGCCCCAAAGAGACCAAGAAGAAAAGTTGCCCTCGACTTAGATATGTAATCACTATTATCTCAAACTTTAAAAAATCTAGAATTTGATCCAATTTTATCATCTCCAAAACGTGACACACATTTACAAAATCACCAAATGTTACATCCTCTTTTATTTTCAATCATCAACCCCTTACTCGGGGTTTTGGGGTTTTGGGGTTTTGGGGTTTTGGGG